ATTGTGACGAGCGTCCCGCAGCTTCATCAGCATCGCCCTGGAAACAAGGCAAGGCACACCTGGCCGTCCTCATCACAGGCTGATTGGTCACAGCTGCAGCTCATCAAGAGGCGGCCACATAAGCCACGCAAGCCCTGCCATCTAGGAGATTCCTCCATGAGACTGAGCACTAACTTGCCCTCTCATTTTTCCCACAGACAGCAGCGTGTGACCGACCAGCCCCACAGGAGCACTGCACGGACCCTCTGCACTGGGAAGACGGAAGAGAGCACTCACGGCACCGGAGCACCTACCTGGACCTTTCTCCCTCTCACCCACCACACCAATAAATCCACCCTCCGGGGTATTGATTGAGATTACTTGTCGTGTGATTCTTCACCCCGTTACTATATATGTATGGTAATATAGTGTTTTGTCTGTGACAGTGGTCAAAGCATAAAGGGAGATAAACTAGGAAGATAAACTAGGAAGATAAACACTGGCCATAATAATCCCTGGATGTGTCCTACTTTAGAGGCCCGGCCCACTGTCATGTGTTATATTTAATCTCTTCCTATATACAGCAGAGATGATGATCTCTTGATTTCACAAGTACAGATTCACCTTTTGCAATTATAAAATGCGAGAATTAGATACGGACTCTGTATGTTTTAGCTAAATACAGCAACATTTGCCTGACAGGTCAGAGTTATGTTGATTTAATTGATTTAAACTTGGATCATCACTGATTAAATAAAGAACATTGGCAGGCATTTGATTTATATTCTTTACTCTACAGTAACCTTTCATGATTACAAATGAGGTGACAGCCAAGTTATTGTCAATTCCACTTAATACTGACAAATGCTAAAACACTGACATTTACTAAAACATCTAAACCAACTTTGGAATTAAATATATTATTTTCTAATTTCATTAGCATTAAAAACTTCTTTAAAGGTATGTTCTATTTGTTTGTTTGTTTATTAGTTTTTACATTTTCTTTTCTTTGAGAAAGAGAATTCCAGCTAATGTGCTGTATGTGTGAAATTATTGGTATGTGTATGTAGAAATGTCTGTCTCACTGTGAAAATCAGCAGCTCTGTATTCAGGCAGACATGTCAGTTCATGCCTGTCATCTCTGTAAAATTCAAGCACATTAATAGTTATGGCATATGCCACTGTGGTCAGCACCTCCCTTCATTCATTATAATCATCATTACATAACTACAAAATGTATTGAAGTTTAATTTAATTTTTTTCTGATTTCTGATATCTGATTTATGGCTAAATATACCAATTTTTCAGAACATGCGCTGACCATAAAAATTCAGAAATATGCATTTGGCTGATGTAATGTTTGAACTAGAAATACTTAAAACATACTAAATGACAAAAGTTGGCAATACTTTATTTTACATTGTCCTTGTTACACATTACATGTATTTACAATAGTAATACGATTATGCATGCATGATTTTTAAGAAGTTTAAAAATACCATTTGTCTCACACATCATCTTGAGTTCATTTTAATCTTAACTTGTGCAATGTTTATTATTAGATAACTGAGGTAATAGTTTTCAGACACAAAGCAAATTTTGCTTTTGGATGTGTGTCACATCTCAGCCTCCAGTATTGGGTAAATACAGTGCCCTACTTTCTTTGAACATTTTTCAACACTTGTACAACCTGAGTTCCATAGAAGACAATATCAAATCTAGGACATGCGTGTCACCTCCCAACCTCAAATTGTTTTGGTTGGTTTATATAGAGTCCTGCATTCATTGAAAATATTTCTGTTTAAATGATATACTGTAGTATATCATGAAAGATGTTTGACATTTAGTTCAGTTGCCAGCATGTCAAGACTAAGAGGTATGAGCTTAGGAACTAAACATAGATACAGGGAGCAATGGTTTCCAGCTCTCCCTACGCAAACACTTACCCAGCAGGCCAATCAATGACACATGTATGCATGGGATTTCAAGTGCTGAGTAAAACTGGGCTCAGTGTCCTCAACTGGGCTTTTAAGCCTGAGCTTGACCCTTGAAGTCATACAGGGGAGTGGAAAATTCGCTTCCAAAAGGTTGTATGTTACCTAATCTTGATGTTGTTCAGTGCAACACTTAAGACTAGAATATGCAAGATTACTCAAGATTCAACCTATTTTGCCTATTTAGTGCTAAATGTACCCATTTCCTCTCATTAATGGATTTTACTAGTACTGAACCATGGAGCAATATCACATGGAGGGAAAAAAGATCAAATGGCAGAAAGAAATTTGTTTCATTGCTTTTGCAATTATGCTTCAGTGCTTTTGCTTACGAAATGTTTGCTTTGCCTTGAGAAACTTGTTTTGCTTGCAAAACTTTTGCTTTCTTTTGCAAAAGAAATTTGCCAAATAAATGGTCTTCACTCTCAAAAGCCCATCTCATATTATTTCCATCACCAGTTATGCATTTGTTCAAAATTTGTATATTTTGGTCAACATTTTTGTTCGCAAAGGTTTAGGGGAGCACGAAACCTTTGAGAGTGAACGCAAAAGCAATGAAGTCTCATTTATTCAATCTCATTTCATATTATTCTCAGTCAACATGTAACATTAGCATCTTTGTAATGAACTCACCAAAAGTAGCCAAATGGCTAGACCATTGTGCATTGCTGTTTACCGAAAAAAAAAAAAAAGCTGTCTCTAATGATCATTTTTATGCATTCAGTGAAGAAATAGACTTGTTTACTTCAAAATTATTTGCGGTAAACAGCATGATGAAAAGCTGGAATTTTAATCAGCCAATTGTTTGCCAGTGTGTCTTGTTTAATCAGAGAGTCACAATGCTGTTGGTTTTGCAGGCATACTTCTGAAAGCTTGCTACATTAAGTTTAAGAGCTGTTAAAGATAAGAGAGACTGTGAAAGAGGTTGACATTTTAGTTGGTTTGACTCCAGACACCTATTAGCACACGTTAATGTACCTTAGCATATATTATTTGGCATACATTATTTGTGTTAATTATAGGACCTAAAAACTCTGCATATAATAGCCTAGATCGTTGACTTGATTGCACAGATACTATTTAAACTGAACTGAGCTGGATGATGACATCACTGAATTCAATGATGAACTGCCTTTAACTGAAAAATGAGTGTTTATTATTGTCATTTTGCATTATTGACACACTATTTTCCTAATGAATGCTGTTCAGTTGCTTTGACACAATCTGTATTGTTAAAAGCACTATATAAATAAAGGTGACTTGACTTGACTTGGTACATTATTTGAATTGTTATTGTACATATAAACCAAACATGCCTGGTAATAAAGAGCTACATATAGATGCTAGTGGTATCTCACTATCACTTTTAAGCCATCTGACTGATCTGTAGTGCTCTGCAAAATTGTCAGGAAGATACCCAAAAGACTATATAAGGGTATCAACAAAGACTAATAATAGAACTAGTGGATATAATGTGAAGGGCGAATTGTTATTAATCAGAATGTGATCCATACTAAGCCATATAGTTACTGCACCATCAATCATCTGATTAGTGCCTTTTGTGTAAAAGTCATTACAAACAATATAGCGGCTGCAGTTAATTTTGTTGGAGAAACAATTTGTGACTTTATGCAGTTGTGAGCCCTATAGTAAAGTTAATTTATTTAGCAGTTGCTTTTATCCATAGCAACTTACAATAGACTTATTATGAGGATAATCCTGCTCAAGGGTTCATGGCTCAGTACTTATGGAAATTGAACCAGTAATCTTCTGGTTATTAGCCCTGTGCATTAACCACCACACCGCAATACCCTGTTAAAATGTTAATAATCTATACCACCTATTTGTTTACATTATTAGGGAACTATTATTGTTCCATCTTGTGACAAAAATGTAATGATTTCGCATCAGGAGATTCAGCTGCTCTGGGTTAATGGTTGAAGACTGGTTTGCTCTCTCTAATGTTCTTTTCCTTGTAACACATGATTTGAATTACTGCATCACCTTCATTACTCTGAACACAATAATATGATTGTGGAATAATGCTTTGCTGCTCGTTTGCAATTTGGTTCAAACCAGTTTTAGAATCGTAACCCTTTAGGATTGCGACTTCACATCATTTTGAATTACACTGATTATAAAGCTCTGCAACTTTTTTTGGGATTCCAAGAATGATAATACAATTGACAATTATTCTTATCAGAGTGCATATACATCCTTACATCACAGACTGTGCTTATATATTGGCTAGAGGTGATGCATGTGGAAGATTTAGCATATTTCCAATTTAAAGCATTTTAATGCATTTTTTTTATTATTATTATTGATCCAGAAAGCTTCAGTGGAAGAACATCTGACTCTCTGTATGAAGAGTCACATAATCAATATCACAAATTCACTTATTTGATAAGTTAGCAAAGAAATATCCATTTTGTATATAATTTTTAATGTTCATGATGAGGACAAGCCTAAAAACTTAACAGGATTCAGTTAGTAAACAAATTAGTAAGCAAATTGAGGTACTACTGAACACTAATAGCAAAACTGAACTGAAACATTCGGCTAAACATTCAGGATATACTGACAAAATGCTCCCACAAAAACACATCACTAACTTATAAAACATCTGGTAAATGAGTCAAGAGTAGGCTAAAAAAAATTGTTTATTTCCAGCTTAGCTTCCTCTAGTTATGGGAGTAAATATTTGTCAGCAATCTTAACAGCACTCATTCTGTTATTAGAAATATGCTCTTTTGTAAACATTTATGCTTGTTGGTCATCTGCACATTAGACACATTTTTATCTCTTAACAGGTATTTATTCTTCTCATTCAGGAATGATTCCTGACTCTAAAAGGTCATAAACATGTTGATACACTCCTAAGCAAAACATTCATTTTCATTAATTAGTATATAACATAGGCCTGGTGTCATCTCATGGTTGATATTGAAGTCATGATATTAATGAGAAGCAGTTGAAGCAAAACATGACATATTAATAATAAAACACAAGTCCACTAATCATAGAAACATTAGAATTTATTTCTAACAGGAACACAGAGTATAGTACAAGATTCTTTTAAACAAACATCTTTCTTTGCAGTAGAAAAATATGTAGGCATACACTGTGGCTTGTGTAGGCCCCTTTTTACATTCAACCTACATGATCCTTCTCCGCAATTACAGCAGCTCACGGTTCATCACAGTCTACAATCACTTTCGTTCAAAGCCTCAACCTGTTTTTCTATTGTAGCGGAAGAGGAAAAAAAAATCAGGAAAAAAGCAACAATCTCATTCAATATTATCACTCTCTTTAGCCACTCTACCTGACTTACTATGACCTTCGTAAAGTTACGTCCAAATCCCTCATCTTTTATCCTCCAAATAACACTGGAGAGTTTCCACACACCATGGGTCATAAATCAGAATGCAGCACACACAGCCACACACAATAGCACCATAGCAGCAAATATGTTGTAGGAAAAAATTGTTGTAGGAAAGTGCAGCAAAAGTAGAACAGACGTAGGAAAAATCGGAAGTGCAACAGCAAGGATTTAGCATTTAATGGGCATTATTATCTCTCATGGACTCCCTTATAGTGTGTCACGCTTAGTGCATTCATTAGAAAAAGACAGATAAACTGGTACTATCAAATGAGATGCAAAAACTTCAATATGAAGCAATCTCATATTGTACCAGATTATTCCATAATCCGAAAATTACACACATTTTATGCACTGCTGTTAAAGGGACAATTCACTCAAAATTGAAATTCTGTCATCTTTTAATCACCCTCACGTGGTATTAAACTTCAACAACTTTTTCTTCAGTGGAACACTGGAGAACATCATTTGAAGAACTGTTTTGTCCATACAATAAAAGTCAGTGGGGTCCATAACAACATTTACTTTCATTATATGGCCAAAAAAAAAAAAACAGATACATTTTATTCAATATCTTCTATTGTGTTAAAATAACGGAAATGCATACATGTTTGGAGGTTGAATAAATTACAGAACTTTAATTTTTGGTTGAACTATCCCTTTAAAGATGACTTACATTATTAACGTCCAGTCACATTTCAAAAGCAGGATTCCCAAAATTCAGTGACTTTAGATAGAATAATTATAAAATTATTACCCTTCAAGGTAATATGTTGCAGAAAATAGTATGTTGCAGAATCTATTTCAGAGCAAATGCTAGTTGTTCGCTTCATTCAAGGACATTTGGAAAGATATCCAAAACAATGCCTTTGCATAACAGTTAATTACAGAATAACACAAAGGAAGGCATCTATGTTATGAAAATTATTGGTTTACCCCATGTCAGATCTACAAAATAGTGTACGTAGTGTGCTAGAAATATTAGAAAATTACATAAACCAACATTTTTCATTCTGAGTAACTTCCATACGGTTAACATGGTTAGTCTCAAAGTTGCATAGAGCCCAAACTTATAATTTTAAACTAAATGTGTATCTCAAAATCATACACCAACATTGAATTAATTTGGACAGTATAAAAGATGGCCACACATGGCCAAAAGTGTTTTCTTTTGAGGATATCATTGCTAATTTCTACTCTTCAGACTTTTCAAAAGTAAATTCTGAAACCATTTGCATTTGTCCTTGTTACAACATTTACTTCAAGTTCATCAGGGGTCTTGAACTGTCACCAGTAGGGGGTGTTGTTCTCAATATGACCCCAACTCTGCCACTCGGGGAAGAATCCACTAGACGTTCTCGGGCTCCCAAATTGATCATATTCCATCTCTGGCTGTTTGCCTTGATTCTTGAAATCTGTTGCCGTCTGTTGGGTTACACTGGTCTGGCTGGGGTCATTCTCTGCATGTACCAGCTTGTAATTTTTCCCGTCGTTATTGTCCCAGTATGTGGTATCATGAGTTTTGTAGGATATGCAGAACTCCACCTGCTCTTGTGGGGGCACAAAACTTGGAAGGTCGATGGAAAACGAGAAAGCGTCAACGTCCTCACAACCATAAACATTATTCATGTATGTACAAGGAATATCAGCGTAGCTTTTCCATGAATCAAATGTTATTCGCATATGGACCATTTTCTCAAAGCTTACGTTGCTCACTTTGACTGTGCCGGTGAGCGATCTCTCTTGAATTATGCAGTTTTCCAAGCATACCAGGCTCTTCTTTAGACGGTTCCGAAAGTCCAAGTAGTCTGCAGCAGGCTGAGGGAAATCCAAAATCAAATTCTTCTCCTCCTCCGCTTTCAGGCCCACAATGGCGTCCTCCAAGTCTGATAATTCGAACGGCAGGTCTAACATGGGGTCTTCCTCGAATTCCTTGAATACATAGACTGCTGTCAGAGACATGCCTTTGGAGTCAGCAAAAACCACTTTCTTTTTGTTTTTGGTCTCGGGACTCTTCCATCCTATATTATCAGTGTCCACATCTGTCTTGGTGCTGATGCAGGATCTCAGAGGTTTGTACTGGTTGACTAGGCTCCTGGACTTGCAGACCTCATATGAACTGAGGAAACTGCGAAGAGGCGGCGAATGTGCCAGACAAATTCTCATTGCCACATCCACAGGCATAATTGGACTTGGCATTGGCCTGGGGTTGAGTATTAAACTGACTTAAAAAATCATTTGTTGCCATGATTTTTGGATTATATTATAACCTGTAACATGTCTCTGCCGTACCCAAATTAAGAATTAACAACAATTTCTACAGACAGCAGAGAAGGAGCGAGAGCGTCTACCTCAGCAGCAACAAATCTTGCATTCTCACATCTGTAGCGCTTATTTTGATCTTTAATGTTGGGTCTTTCCTATTCTTGAAACAAAATTAATTCTTACGGTTAATTCAGTATTACTCTTGATGAAAAACACACACAACATCAACCATGCTACAATGACAAAGTCGCTTATATTAAACATAAAACTTTTATGAAACCCCGGTTAAATGAAGTGTAATTGAAGGGAATTATTTAATTTATTCACAGTTTAGTAACATCATATTTCTCTAATAAATGTTGAAAAGAGGTGTAGAGGTTATTAAAGAACATTTAAAAATTAGTCAATTTATCCTATTTAGAAGATTAGTTATTGACCAATGAGAGCTCTCTGTCGTTGCGCCCCCTGCGTGGTGACGAGCATGCGCAAAGACAGAAGAGATGAGCTAGACCGAGAAGAAAAGACGTGATCTGATTTTCGCGATCTAATTTGAAGAGATATAGATAAAAAAAATCATCCGAAAGTGTACCAAAGTATTATAATTGATTTATTTCGAGCCATCCAGTATCTGAAGAAGCCGATTGAATATTGTTGAGTCACATTTTACTCGTTCACTACGCCATTGTTGGTGACACACGCCTGTGTAAGAGTAAAATCGATTATAGAGGTAAATAACTGATATAATTTCTTGTAAAAATTATATTTGTATGTGTTATTGTTTAGTTTAATTATTTCAGTCTAAGCGGTCATAGTGAACCGCATGGTTATTGTTCATTGTAGTTCACCGACGACCATTGTTGGTCACGTGCCTGAGTAAGAAAAAAAGCTGATACAGAGGTAAATGAGTGTGTATATATACCATTGTTGTAAAAAAAAAAATGGTAGTTTAACACAAATAAATAGCCTATGGATTTCCCCTCAGGCAACCTTAAAACGTTCGTAGTTTGTGGTTTATTATCTTATTAATTAATTAATTAAACACATCAGCCATAAAATAGTACAATGGCAAATTCGCATATATTAAACATCTACCTTACATTGACAAAATGAATAAGATGGATATAGCCATTGTAACCCAAATAAATAAGGTATTTTCCCTTATTTAAAACGAATGCTTAGTTTGTGGTTCATTGTTATTTTTTGAATGAAAACCCAGCAACAAAGACACTCACTTATAGGCTATTAAACGAATAAATGAAAGTTGTATTAACAAAAGTTGTGCTTTGGATCCGCCATCATATAGTGTCAGTCTTCTCGCATCACTCTTGTCACGTGAACCCACGTTGTTGTCCAGGGTCACAAATAGAAAAAAATATCAGGCCAGGGAAATGGGGAAAAAAGTTCTGGATTTTTTTTTTTTTTTACATCCTATAATTCAACATTTTCTAATTGGTTGTGCTAGAAATTACTCTTTGTAAATGTAATCACTTTTTTTAATTATTAAAAATAATAATAATAAAAAAATAATAATTTCATCACGAATATCTGGAAAGCATGGCAGATCATTGGTCAAAATGAGTGGGAACCTTGTTCATAAGTGCAAGATCACATCATACCAATTGCAAGCTGTCATTTGTGGGTGTTAAACATTTATGAAGCTGTCATGCTCTATTGGTGTTAGACGGTCAGAATACTGTATGTTGCAATGATAGCAGCCTATTGAGTAATGTGACCTACATTAGCAAGATCCATATTGCAACATTTTACAAAATGTATAATGCATTTATGATCATCACAAAATACAGAGTACAATACTTCATATTTCATGAAAATGATATAGGTAAGGGCACTTCTAAAACTTGAAAATAAACACATATAATATATTTTTTAAATACGATTCATACATCGGTAGGATGTAATCACTTTTTTTAATTATTAAAAATAATAATAATAAAAAAATAATAATTTCATCACGAATATCTGGAAAGCATGGCAGATCATTGGTCAAAATGAGTGGGAACCTTGTTCATAAGTGCAAGATCACATCATACCAATTGCAAGCTGTCATTTGTGGGTGTTAAACATTTATGAAGCTGTCATGCTCTATTGGTGTTAGACGGTCAGAATACTGTATGTTGCAATGATAGCAGCCTATTGAGTAATGTGACCTACATTAGCAAGATCCATATTGCAACATTTTACAAAATGTATAATGCATTTATGATCATCACAAAATACAGAGTACAATACTTCAACCATATTTCATGAAAATGATATAGGTAAGGGCACTTCTAAAACTTGAAAATAAACACATATAATATATTTTTTAAATACAATTCATACATCGGTAGGATATATTTATTCCATGGTGAATATTTTTTGTTATAGATAAATGTATATGCTTTGAATAAGTTCAGGAGCCAGAAAAGACAAAGCATAGTTCTATAAAAAGTTTTAAAATGCATTGTCTATTAAAAATTCTCTAATAAAATGACGTTAGAAGCAGCCATTTAAGCAAAAAATATATTACAATACATTTGTGAAATACTTCAAATTTGGGTGCGCTGTCAGCGTATTCAAAATAATATATTTTTACCTTTTATTATGGTCTTCTTTTCATTTTGAGATGTCTGAGTTTGTTTTGCTGAAGTCTAATCTAAACACTTAAGTCTGTATCTCAAGAGTGGAAACTTCAAGCAACTATTGGTCCATTAACCACACTTGCAAAACAGGAAGCGTACAGCCAGCCTGCACACTCAATGTAGCTACAGCTGGCCATCAGCATAATGATACAAAATACACTAATCAAATCACATTCTGCTTACACTAATGATGACGATGGTCCATGATGATGATCAGTGAGAATTAATTTACCTCTATAATATAGAATCAAGGAAAGTGATTGATTTTCGTTTAACCAGGTGTTTTGCTAAATTTAGTGCAATTACAGATTGTTAAAGTATGCAGTTTAGTATAAGCAGGACAATTTAGAACATTTGGTGTTTTATTTAACATTTTGAGTATTGGATTGACTAATAGGATTATTGTTTTCACATTGAATGCCGTTGATTATGGATGATTTCTTGAGGTTGGTTAAACAATGCAGGGTGTGTTTATCAGCAGTCATGCAAACATGTATTAAGGGAAAGAGAGCGCAGAACATGATAGAGCTTGCAAGGATTTCTTAATTTGTCTGTGTGACTTTTTCCATTTTAAAAACGTTTACTTGCATTAATTGGACTGTTCACAAATATGATTGTTGAGTATGACACACAATTGTGTTACGGTCTTAGGTTTTTACGTGTCACTTCCTCAGTGACCTGAAGTACCTGAGCTGAAATGTGGGCAGTTTTGCATAGTGCATATTTACAGAGCTATTGCAAGAATATCAGTATTTAGAGAACCAACCATTGAAATCAGATGAGAATGTGCTGCAGTACATGAGCCCAAAAATATTTGGTATTTTATGTGCTTATATGTTGGTTTCATATGATCTCGCTGATGTCAGTTCAGATCGAACAAGCCCTCCTATTCATGGACAGAAGGTACTTTGGTATCTTTGAAAAAAATGAAACTTCTTAAATGGCAATAAATTAATAATAATAAATCTTGTTTTTTTTTTTGTATTTAAAATGGTCCACTTTACCTCATGATGCTCTGCTTGTTTTGTTTTAAGAGGTATAAATATAGAATTAAAAAGCCTGTTACTACCATCTGCTGCTTGGATGGCTGTATTACCAGTCACTAAAAATTCAACAAGAGCTCAAGATAATGTAATGCTCAAGGTCTGTTGGCTTAAACATTCAAAGCAATATTTATTTGTTAAATGTGTGTATATGTAATATAAATATATTAAATATTCAAATAATAATATTTTATGTTTTTCTGTTCTCTCTAATAAAAGAGAAATCTGAAAGAAAAGACATACAGTTTGTAATTTTTATTATAACAATTACATTCAAAAATACTCCATGTATTCTAAAAGGGCACACATTCATAACATTTTGAACAGTACTATATGGCCATCAAGATGTTAACATGCTTTATGCTCTTTGACTATAATGTAGAATTTGTCTAATAAACTACACAGACATCATACAGTCATCGGTTTGACACAAAAACATTGACCATTACAACTAATTTATGTGTGACCAAATACGAAATTAAATTTTACACAAGTGTAAAAACTGAAATTGTTTGCAAATATACAGTATGATATTTTACATAATTCCCATTTACATTTGACTAAATATACACAGCCAGCATAAGTTGAAGATAACAAAACCAAAGACTTTCACACTAGATTGTTTGCCTGGAAGAAACCAGCTTTGACACAGTGCGTAAACCTGAGTCAGTGTTGTCCTCTCATTGAAGTGGTCCTGTCCTCATTTGATGTTCATTTGTGCAGCTCACTCGACAGAAATAAGGACAACCATTTTTTCCCACAGAAAACAAATTCTTTCAGCTATCAGTGATTAATTTCTTATCAATGCTACTTCCATGCAAAATCTTATGAACAGAACTCTTCACCACTAGCGCAGTACAACAGACCTCAGTTTCAACAATTCAGACGGCACTTGTATTTTGCTTTGTATTACTTCAGTCGAACAGGATGAAACAGAAACTGGCAGATAGCAGACTCAGAAAGAGGCAGAGAGGTCTATGTTTTCATTACACCATATGTGAGTGTTTGAATTTAAGGAAGGAGGGAGGATCAAGTTCGGACCCAGCTGACAGGCACCCACTGCGGCTCCCTCTCGAGTCGTTCCAAAATATTCCTCAGCTCTACACAGGCACTGGCAGAGTCCTCCTTTATCAGGACCCTGTCCACTAGGTAGCCATATTGCTGGTCCATCTGCTCAGCTGATTGCCTCATTTCCTGCAGGTCTTCATCCTTTTCACATGAGGATAGAGAAAGAGAAATATAAATATAGAGTTTTTGTTCACTGTGTGCAATATAAGAGTTAAATGACAGAGATTTACTAGCTGCATTTGGGAAGTGTGATATAAATCCCGTCTCACTGTGATGTGTCCGTTGTCACCCCTTCCTGGTGATGTGGGAGAGCTACGTTGCCGATGTATCTCAGGGATGCGTGGCTTTACAAAAATCACATAGGGCTTAAACTCTGCTGAATGGAGAATTTTCAGGGCCTGAGATTTAGAGTAAAAAAAAGATATAAATCATTGCATTGGTTTCCAATTATGACCAAATATGACCAATTATGAGTCTGCTGATGGCAAAAGTTGTAGATTCAAATCAAGATTAGGTTGAGCAGAAACATTACCACTGTGCAAGAGGTCTCCATTTACACATATTTGTTAATTAGCAAACACTTTTATCCAAAGTGACTTAGAAATGAATACAATAATCTACCTGTAAACCTGTATGACTTTTTGCCATGTAAAACAAAGGGAGCTATTAGCAAAATATCAAAGCTATTCTTTTCAATGCAAAAAAAAAAAAAAAAGATCACAATTTCAGTGCAATTACTCATTTATTTAAATGCATTATGTATTACTTCACATCACATATGACCAGAGCTCAGAATCAGAAATACAGAGAAAAGTCAATACTGAAAATAATTACAATGACAGAATGTTATATTTACCTCAGGTTGAACATCTACCAGACATACTTTATTTCTCGCCAGGACACTCCGGATTGACTCCAGACTTGTCCCATATTGGTTATTCTTATATTCACCATATTCAATAAACCTGGGTATACACAATACATGTTTTGTCAATTCAAACAACAGTAAAATTAAATCTGATAACACTAGTATTAAATGAGTAGTTCACCCGAAAATAAAAGCTGTCATCATTTACCAAACCTGTACGACTTTTTCTTCCTCAGAACACATAAGCAGAAAATGGCCATGCAGTTACAACAGAATGGTAGCAAAAGAAAAAAAAAACTTTTTGGGTGAACTATGCCTTTAACAAAATGCCACACAGATGTTTTACTGACAAAATACTGACAAAAAGCACACCCAACATAGATATTAAAAAGTTTCATACAACATACTTATTCAATTGGATGTCAGCCTCAAAGGCCTGCTTGGAGATGAAGTGGTATTCTACACCTTCCTTTTCATGGCTTTTTCTGGGTCTTGTTGTGTCTGTTAGAAAATGATCACACAAATTATACTAGCATTTTAGTTAATGTCACATGTGATTTTACAATACGCAACGTAGTTATTTGAATAAATAAAATTTAAAATTAGAAGCTTTAAACTCAGGTCATCAACTTGGAAACAAAAGTAGGTTCTACTTTGATTCAGCTTCTTAGTGTACATTATCAGCCAGGACCTGCATAGTCTCTAATGTGGGGCTAGTGGAAAAAGAAAACTCACGTGGCACAGCGACACCATACCGATGAGGATTCTCAGCAATCACCTTCTGCTTCAACTCATTGATCCGAGCACCAAGAGATCCTGCAGAAAAAAAGGAAATGAGATTCTGAAGGCCGTGTAGAATGTCCTCCTGACATCCCTTGAATCTTACCTATCAGCACCACAAGCCTTGGTTTGTTTTGGGCTCTCATCTGATATAGTGTCACCTCTTCATATATGAGGAACTCATTCTCTTCAGACTCTGCTGGACGAGACTCTTTGGTTGAACCCTGGTGATCCTTGCGGCTCAGTCTGAAGCTTCTCCTTAGACCAGCTGTGAGAGCAGAAAGATTTTCCAGTAGATCAACATAGGTAAAAAAAAAACATCTAAAAATATAGAGAAAATCAGAAATAGACATGACATAATTACATGAACACAAAGATCAGACAAAAAGACAAGGATGGAAAGAGGTATATCCTCCAGACTAAAAATACCATGTGCCTGACACTGCTGCTGATTTTATGTAACAGCTGCATCTCGGGGGAAAATAGCAACACACTGTTCATCTGCTTTGTAAAATTGAATATGCAGTGAATAAGTTAAAGCAGCAATGCATCTATTCACCTTACAAGTATGATATGACAGTATGACAAATATGGTACCTGAGTAAAACTCCCAGGAAAAGGCCTGGCCACAGGACGGTGCCACTGCCTTACACTTTGGAGAAACTACAACTAAGGTTAGACCATCACACATCCAGCAGTTCTATAGTTCTATAGAGACTATCACAAGCTATCAGCCATGCCAAAGCCTCTGTGAGCCATTAGCCGAAAACAATAGTTCCCTGGCTGTAGCAGTGCCCCTGTTGTTCATGCTTAAAGGAAACATTCACCAAAAATAAAAGTTTCAAGCCCACACAAGTTCCTTCCCTGTAAAAGCCCAATTCCATTACATAAGAAAAAAATATGCTTTGCTAAATTATAATTATGATTAAAAAACATAATTATGAGATACAAAGTCATACCTGAGATAAAAATCATTAATATGAGATAAATCAAAATTATGACAAAAAAATTTGTAATAACATTTGTACACATTATCTCATAATTTCAACCGTGTTATATGTTATACTTGTCATATTGTTGATCTTTATGCCATAATTTTAAATAGTCATTATTATGACTTTTTATGTCATACTTTTGACTTTTTATATCATAATCCTAGCTTTTAATTTTTTCTTATGTGGTGGAAATGCACTTCCATACTTTTCTTCCATGGAACACCAAAAGAAAAAATGCTGGCAGGTTTTTTTTCCATAAAATTAAAAAAAAGTGAATGAAGCTGTGAAGATACAATAAATGCAAATATGGTGCCAATGTGTCAGGTTTATGTCAATATAACATGATAAATCATTGAAATTTGAATATGCAGAAGTGCAGATTGAGTTTAATTTAATCTAATTAATTAATTATCGCTTTGGATAAAAGCGTCTGCTAAATGACTAAATGTAATGTAAATGTAAATGCCTATTCCTCACACAAAACAACAGTATGACTTCAGAATACTGGCACAGATCCTCATTCACTTTCATTAAAAGGAAAAACAAAAAATGCTACCATATTATATCATTCAATGTTTCTCTTTTTGTGATCAGCAGAAGTAAGAAAGTCATACAGGCTGAACTGAACAACATGAGGTTGAGTAAATTACAGAATTTTCATTTTTGGGTGAACTGTCCCTTTAAGCAGTAAGCACCACAAAAACAGTAAGTGCACCAATCTGGCAATCTGCCTCGTAGCAAAAAGCACACACTAAAAACCACTAAAACTCAAAGAGGGAGTTGTCTGAAGCTCAAGATGTGACCAGTGGCTGGGGTCTTAGGATGTGCCAAGCGTATGAGCTCTGTGGTGAAGTGTACCGAAGAACTCGCAACAAAACCAGACGATGTATAAAGCGCACCACACCACACAAAAAAGCATCATCCAAAGCCAAAGCCATGTGGAGTGTATTCAGTGTGTAAGGTGCCAGCTCTCACCTACGTGCTGTCCACTGACACTGCCCTCACAGTCACAGTCCTCTGGAGGGTGGGTGGGTCAGGAGAACACAAGAGATGAAAGGGTACAGGCAGGAGAGGAGAATCAGTGGGGATCACACTTTACAAGGACATTTCATAGGTCAGAGTTAATGGAGAGGCCAAGAGAACCACAACTGCAAAATAAAGCAGCAAGCACTGAGCGCAGGGATTTCAGCATCTGTACTGGGTATTCAGAACTTAAGGGTTCTTTTCATGGACTAGCCATGAATATAATTAGTAACAAATACCTGAAATACCAATTTTACAGATTTATGAATTAATTTGAAAAGAATTTACAATTATTTTGATTTCATTAGTTTACACTTTATTGTACGGTGTCCTTGTCACAATACAAGTAAGTACTGAGTAATATTAATTAACAACACATATATACTATAGGGTTAGGGTTTATGGTTAGCTGCTTGTACAGCCCCATTTCCTTAAAAGTTGGGACATTTTGTAAAATGCAATAAAAACTAGAATCTGTGTTTTGTTAATTCTCTTTAACCTTTATTTAACTGACAAAAGTGCAAAGAAAAATCTGTTTTCACTCACCAACTTAATTGTATTTTGTAAATATATACAAATTTTGATTTTAAACACTCTAAAAAAGTTGGGACAGAGGCATGTTTACATTACCTTTCCTTTTAATTATTTCTGAACTGATGATACTACTAAATGCTGCCATTTTGCAAGTGGAATATTTGCATCTTTGATATAAGACTTCTCTGTGGTCATCATTGTCTTATTCTCCTTTACATGAAATGCTACACAATTTCAATACAATACAGAACTGGACTGCAGACAGGCCAGTCAAGCACATCCACTCAATATCTACAAAACCAAGCTGTTGTTGCACGTGATAAATGAGGGCTGTCGTCATCTTGCAATCTCAGACTGTATGAAGTGACAATGGTTTTTCGTAGTACTCCTAAGCTCATGTCGATATATTTAATACATGCTTTCTCATGAAGTAACATTTGAGGGCTCAAAGGTTATGCACACCGAACAGAGATTTCCTGCCTTTCCCTATATGGACTGAGATTCCCTAAACCTTTTCACAATATTATATATGAAATATTATAAATATAAAATATTAAGACCTAACTTCTTTGCGGTCTTGCATTGATAAATGTTATTTTTTGAATGCTTTTACAATTCTCTCATTAAAGTGATAGTTCACCCCAAAATGAAAATTGTCATCATTCACTCACCCTGTTGTTCCAAACCTGTATGAATTTTATATTATATTATATTTTAAAGAATGTTGGAAACCAAACAGTTGCTAGTAGCCATTGACTTGGTTAATGGCTACAATCAACTGTTTGCTTACCAACATTCTTCACTTTTGTGTTCAACAGAAGAAAGAAACTCATACAGGTTTGGAGCAACTTGAGGGTGAGTAAATATGGCAGAATTCTCATTTTTTGGGGAATTGAGAATATTTTGGCACAAAGTGGTAAGCCATGATCCATCTTTGCTTGCAAAGACTGAGAATTTGGTGGATGATTTTTATACCCAATTATGATACCCTTACCTATTACCAGTTCAGATGTTTAACTATAATCTTTTCACTTTTATTTTGCCTATGTCCAAATGTTTTTGGAATGTGTTAGCCAATGAAATCAAAATTTGTTTATATTATCAAAATACAATTAAGTTGGTCAGTGAAAACATTCTTAGTTCTTATATTCACAGTTTTGTCAGTTAAATAAAGGTTAAAAAGAATTAACAAATTTCACAAATGGAGTTGTAATTATGCATAATTTACCGTTACTACTATATAAACTGTGTGTGTAACAAGCACACTATAATATAAAGTGTTACCTTTTAATTATTTCATATGTAATGACATTTTGTTTCAAAATCACCAACCTTTTTCACAAGTTTGGTCACCTGAGGTAAGCAGAGTGAGGAAACAAACACAATTGCTGAAACATGAATAAGTATGAAAAGCAAATGAATAAGGAATCTTGCAAGTATTGCCATTTGTGATAGGTCTGTGTAAAATATACATTGGCAATCTTCATTTATCCTATACAGATAGGCCTATCTGTTCTTAAAATTGCACAAACTATTTCAGTATATCTATAAAGCACTTTCTGCAGACTGGGAGAGTTGTGAATGTAGAATTGAATGCAATGCAATAACTGTGTATTGGCAAGAATAACGATGTGGGAAGATTCGCATAACGCCGCCCAAATGTTCATGCAAAGAAAGAAGGCGTAACTTTTATTTCCGCTGTGGTATTGTTGCCACCGCCATGTCATGAAGAGCTGTGTGTTTCGTTGTGAAAGCTAAACTACTTTGTTTGGTCTTCCAAAAGAGGACACGACTAGAAATCA